CCCCTCCCTGTCACCTCCAGGTGCTCCAGGGGAGAAAATGGGTTTTGGGGAAAACAGTCATAGATCCCAGAATGGTTTGGGTTGGAAGGGACATTAAAGCCCATTCACTGCCACCCCCTGCCACGGGCAGGGACACCTTCCACTATCTCAGATTGCTCCAACCTGGCCTTGGAAAAGTCCTCCAGTGCAAGTCAAAACTCCCATATAAACATTCACATTGGGATTCACCCTGTGGACAATTCCTGGTTCTGACCCTCTGTTCTTATTTATAGATAAATGTGGAATTATTTATAAATAAGAGCTATAAATAAATGTATACTTATTTCTGCATGAGAAACATCGACAGGAGAGACATGATTTGGCACCTGGGATTGCAAAAGCATTGGATGGAGGGAATCAGAGGAAAACTGAAGGAGAGGGAATTGTGAGGTGTAGAGATACATGATAGAGAGCTGGGGGGTTCACCTGGAGAAGAGAAGGCTCCAGGGAGACCTGGGAGCCCCTTGCAGGGCCTGGAGAGCTGAAGAGGGACTGGGGACAAGGGATGGAGGGACATGACACGGGGGGAATGGCTTTAAGCTGGAAAAGTGTAGATTTAGGTGGGATATTGGGAAGGAATTGGTGGCTAGGAGGGTGGGGAGGCTCTGGAATAGAATTCCCAGAGAAGCTGTGGCTGCCCCTGGATCCCTGGAAGTGTCCAAGGCCAGGTTGGAGCAACGTGGGCTAGTGGAAGGTGTCCCTGCCCATGGCAGGGGTGGCACTGGGTGGGCTTTAAGGTCCCTTCCAACCCAAACCATTCCGGAATTCTGTGACATTTCAGGGGAACAAAGTGGCAGAAGTGGGGTAGGAGAGGGCAGAGAGGAGGGATCTGAGCATTAAAGCACAAATGGGGCCAAGTACAAGGAGCTACTCAGAGTTGTGGAGTTTTTTTCCCTGGTGTAGTCAGGAGAAATCCAAGAAATCTGAACAGTAAAGGAGAGAGAAATGAGTTTGTACCTGAACATAAGAAATGGCCTGGGAAAGGGAGGGAAGAAATGGCATTTGGGATGGTCTGTTGGCCATGAGCAGGGATTTGGGATGATCTGTTGGTGCTCCCTGTGTGTCTGGCTGAGCTCAGAGCAGCCCATGGGCCCAGCTGGGCTCTCTCAGCCTGGGGCTCCTGTTGTGCTGCAGCCCCAATTAACCAGCAGCAGTTAATTAGTGACCCCTGGCTGGGGGTGCTGATGGAGATGGGGTCGGACCAGGCTCTCAGGTGGGTTTTGGGGTGTCCTGGGCAGGATCAGGAGTTGGAGTTGGATGATCCTTGAGGGTTCTTTCCTCCTCAGGATATTCCATGATTCCATTACTGGTTCTATGATTCCATAAATGACTGCGAAAGCTGAAACCAAAGTGATTTGAGGGATCTGAGAGGGCTTCTGGAGACCCCAGGGGTCACTTCTGCAACCAGCTCACCTCCCTGGCATTGCTTAAAACCCACATTGTCTCTCCCTGGATCACCCAGTGAAGCTCCTCTCCTTGGCTATTTTTCACCTTTTACATTGTTGTGTTTAAAGGTTTCAGCATAAAATAAATGTAAAGCCACGAAGCTCTGCCCCAAATATAACAAATAAATGTCAGAGTGCTTGGAACCTTAAATTACAGTTTTGAGCAGCTCTTGCATTGAGCAAACTTTATTTTCCATTTAGGAGCCTAAGTAGGAAAGAATATAAACCTCCCAGTTAAATTTAAGGAGAGGGAATTGAAGTGAATCTTGGCAGTAAAACAGTAAACTGACATGGAAATTAAAACTTTTTATAGGTTAATTTATAGGGGTAAAAGATTTTATGCCTTCTCAGTCCCTGTGATAAAGAACAAAGCCCCTGCCATGAGGAACTGGGAGGACTGCAGTGCTTTGAATCACAAGTGATTGCATAAATCTGTCTCAGAGATTCACTTTTCCAGTATTTTTAAGGAATGAACACCAAAAATAAGGAGAGTATAGAAAGGGGTCAGTTTTGGTTCAGAGTTGTGCAGCAGGATATGGGGATTATGTGGATGATTGTGATTGGATTTATTGCTGTGGCCAATAATAACTCGTATTATAAAAGTTACATATAATATAATTGTATATAATTATGTAATAATTATGTTATTTTAAAATATATATCTATTATCGCAAAGTATTGTGGTGCCATCAGGTTGGGGTCCCTCCTGGTGGGTCAGGGACACCCCCTCACTGTCTGAACATCTCAGACAACCAGGTGGGGCTCAGCTCACCCAGTCCCAGCTTTAGTCCCAGTTTGTGTCCCAGGCTGGGCTGGGAACATCCCCCTTTCCAGTCCTGGGCCTTGCAGGATTCCCAGTCCCAAAGCCCCAGAGCCTCAGGCACAGGGTGGGAGTGTTGGGGTGTCCTGGGCAGGGGTAGGGCTTGGACTCCATGATCCTGGTGGGATCAGCTCAGGATATTCCATGAGCTGTGGAGCTGCTTTAGGATTTTCTCTCTGGATTTGACCAGATCTCAGCACTTTTTGCTCACCCATCCCAAAGTGAGTGTCCCCTATCTTTGGGCTGGATGGACCTGCAGGTGTGCCAGCGCCCTGGAGGGAAAGGGAGAAGGGCTGGGGAGGGAGGGGAGCACACAAGGGAAGAGCCAACTACCTTTTGTGTTATCCCAGAAGCTCCTCTACATCATATTTGGAGCCTGGCCTGGAAGGTAAAAATCTGTCTGAAGTCCTGTGGAAGAATCATGGAATCACAGAACGGGTTTGGGTTGGAAGGGACCTCAAAACCCACCTTGTTCCACCCCCTGCCACAGGCAGGGACACCTTCCACCAGCTCAGGTTGCTCCAAACCCCATCCAGCCTGGCCTTGGACACTCCCAGGGAAGAAGCACAAGCTGAATCCCACAGGGACACTCAGGACAGGCTTATAGGGTTGTATTTCCATGCCCTAGTTGAGTCTTTGGTGTGCCCCTGAGTCCTTCTATTCTCCAGCTAAATGCAGTATTTTTAACAGCTTTGTAAAGCCACAGAAACACAGACAATGGGGGTTTTTTTGGGATATTGATATGGGATTCTGATCATCTGGCAGCTCCTGCTCCGTGCTGTGCCAACACTCCTCTGATTTGTTCTGAGTGTGTGGCCAGGCTGGCTGATGGCAAACCCCATCTCTGAGGGCCATAAACCACGCTGCCAAATGCACAGTTTAATTAAATGCTGCCTCTTGTCTTTGTCTGGGGTCCTTTTGTCTGGAAACAGAGTTTTTCATTGTCAGGGAAAATTTGACTTTAAACCCCATTGACTGGGCTGTGACTGCTGCCAAGGAGCAGGAAAGGGAGATGTACTTTGTGGGGGGGAAAGAGAACTTTCTTCTGGAGCTGGAAACTTTCCTCTGGAGCTGGAAACCTCCCCTCATCAGTGGCAGAGTCAAAAAATTGTCAGAGGGATAATTACTTGAGACACTGTTTTCAGACAAGGGGGTAAATTATGGAAAAACTTGCTGTTTGCCCCATTATTCCCTGCTGCATTCATATCCACCTTGTTTTAGTAATTAACCTGCAGTAATTAACCTGCAGCATCTCTTGGTAATAAAATACTGGTGGAGTGTTTTAACCCTTGTGGTTATTTGGTGCTCCAAGCACAGACCTGTCACCTGGCTCAGGACACCCCAGGGAGGCTGTAAATACACCCCTTTTATCCCAGCTTTTTCCTGCAGGGTCAGGAACCTCTGGGAATGCTCAGCTCAGCAAAAGAATTAGATAAAATTGGATATTAGGAGAAATTCCTTCATGGAAAGGGTTCAGGGCAGGGATTTCAAAGCCCTGTGGATGTGGCACTTGGGGACAAGGGGTGGCCTTGGCAGTGCTGGGGATGGTTGGACTCAATAAAATCAGAGTTCTTTTCCAACTTTAATGATCCCACAGGATTCTCTGTGTCCATGGCAAGGCTGAGGGACCTTTTCCTCCGTGGAAAGCCATGTATTACAGTGGCATAGTGGTGAAGCTCCTCTGGAGACACCAGGTGACAGCAGGGCCCAAAATTAGCACCTCTGATGTTTTTCAGCTCCTTCTGAAGAGGAAAAGCCTTCACAGCTCACACCCCCTCTGTGTCCACCCTCAAGCACACAGGAATTGGGTTTTTTACCCCACAGAAAGTGGTTGGGAATCATTCCAAGCCCCTCCAGGTGGTTCAATGCCGGGCCAAACTCAACTGGACTCCATGACCTTGGAGGGCTTTTCCAACCTTAATGATTCTTTAGGATTCTGTGTGTCCATGGCCAAGGCTGAGGGACCTTTTCCTCTGTGCAAGGGCAGAGCAGAGAATCCCGTGTGTGGTGTGATGTCTGGTGGCATTGGGCACCTTCTCTGGGTGCTGTGCATCCAGCTGGTGATTTACAGGATCATCTTCCAGTGGGGAATGTCTCTGGCTCCTCTGTGTTTTCCTGCAATCTGTGCTCCAGTAGATGCTCAGTCTTTCCTTACCTCAGGTGGCAGGAGTTTCTTGGAGAAACACCCCAAATCTCCTTAAAGCTTTAATTCCTTTTAATCCTGCTCTCTGCATCAGGAATACTAGACTTAAATCAGCCACACAGTCCATTTAGCACAGGCATGAAGCTGCTCTGGAGACACCAGGTGACAACTGGGCCCAAAAATTAGCACCTCTGATATTTTTCAGCTCCTTCTGAAGAGGAAAAGCCTTCACAGCTCACACCCCCTCTGTGTCCACCCTCAAGCACAGAGGAACAGGTGCCTTCATTTACTGAAAAATGCTTTTTGTTCTAGTTGTTTTAACTTGTTTTTTGCACCACAGAAGGTGGCCAAGAATCATTCCAGGCCCCTCCAGGTAGTTCAGTGCCATGGCAGACACAAGTGAAGGTTTTCCACTCATCACCCTCTGATCTTGATCTACTTCTTCTTCATTGCTCTGCAGCTCATCTTTGAAGGGATCCGTGGCCCTGGCATCGAAGGGGACATTGCCATCGATGACGTGTCCATTGTGGAAGGGGAGTGCATGAAGTCAGACCAACCGGCCAACAGTAAGTGCTGCTTCTCCACACAAGGGGCAGAAAGGTCCTCAGGGGTTTATTTATCTTAGACAACTCCCAGAATAGATTTTTTTTTTTTCCAGAAGGACAATATCTGGTTTGGTTGGAGAGGCTTAAATTGTAGTGTTTTCCATGGAAATGGCTTTGTTCAGGTAGAGGGTGAGCAGAGATGCCAGTGAAAGACTCGTGGGTGTTGGACAGAGAGATCAGTGGGTGACTCTCCACGGTGGGTTGGGCTGGACAGCCACAATTTTTTCCAGGAGAACAATATCTGGCTTGGTTGTAGAGGCTTAAATTGGAATGTTTTCCTTGGAAATGTGTTTTTTTCAGAGGGAAAAATGCTGTCTGAGCAGAGATATCAGTGAAAGGGTGTTGGGCAGAGAGAGTAGTGGGTGACTCCCCATGGTGGGCTGGGATGGGCAGCCACAGTTTAGTTGTGGGGTGGATTTCCACCCCAAAGCCTCTGCCCTATTTAGTTGTGGGGTGGATTTTCATCCCAATATCTCTACCCTCTTTAGTTGTGAGGTGGATTTTCGCCCCAATATTTCTACCCTCTTCAGTTGTGAGGTGGATTTTCATCCCAGTGTCTCTGCCCTATTTAGCTGTGGGGTGGGTTTTTTCCCAATATCTCTGCCCTCTTTAGTTGTGAGGTGGATCTTCATCCCAATATCTCTGCCCTATTTGGTTTTGAGGTGGATTTTGATCCCAGTGCCTCTGCCCTGTTTAACTGTGAGGTGGATTTTCACCCCAATGTCCCTGCCCTATTTAGCTGTGAGGGTTGTTGTCATCCCCTGTGTGTAGAAGGTGATCTTGTCCCTGCAGGGGAGGTTGGTGGCCCTCAGTGGGACATGTGGGGACATCCCAAGTGAGCCCCTCCTGCCACCTCCACATGATTGTGCAGCTCCTGGCGGGTGAGCCCTTGATTTTCTAAAACCCTGTAGAGTTCTGACTGTGTCTGGGCAGCTCTTTAATTGTCCTTTTTCCCCCCTTTTCTGTAGATTTACGATCAGGTGCTGTTGGGACATTCTCACATATACGACTCCTCCCACTTCTCCTCCTCATGTCTGTCTTAAGTCATCAGAGGTGACCTTATCCTGGCAGAGGCTACAAAAGATTCACCAGGCACTGGCATGAAGAAGAAAAGAGTCTTTGTAAAACGGACATTTTAAAAACAAACTACCAAAGATTCCTCCACTGAACTGACTCGAGAAAGTTAAATAAGTACGTAAATAAATAATTAAAAAATGAACAGAACAAAACAAACAAACAAAAAAAAAAGGTAATTAAGAAAGCACTGGGGACATAAAAGGCATCACGAGCCACGTGTGAGGATGGGATCTGGCCTAAGGAAGGAAGAGACCTTCAGGTGCTTTTGTGGTCAATGATGAATTGAGCATCATCTGGTTGAACTCTCGGCGAAGAGCTATAGAAACCCTTGTCAAAGCACAAAAAGTCATGGCTGGTTTTGTTTCAAATGAATAGTTTGCTTGTTACCATGGAAACCTAATGGCCTGCCAAAAAAACAAAAACAAAAACAAAAACAAAAAAAAAGGAGAGAGGAAATAAAGAACAAGAAAAAAGAGAGAGAGAAACACCTCACTGTAAACAGGGTATGTGAAGAGCTGGCATTCATTTCCCCCTGCAGAAGGTTTTTTTAGTGTGGAGTTAAACAAATGTAGGCCCTTCCTACTTTGACTGTCGCCTCCCTTAGGGAATCACCCGGGATCAGAGCCGGTTTCAGACGTTCCTGTTTTCATTTCTCATGGCTCTGCTTGAGAACTGTGTGTGCTGTCTCCTCTTTGCATGCATTTCCCAGCCAGGACGTGCCACCCTGGGCTTTACACGTTATTACACGGGATTTTTCCGGGATTTTCGGAGTTTGCTTGCGGCCACTTCGCCCCCTCCCCTCTCCCTCCTCCCCTCCTCCCCTCCTCCCCCGACCCGAGTCATCCGTTCCAACGAAGGGAAGAAACCAAACCACCGTCTTTTATAAATTGCCATGGAAACCAAGTGCCTTCAATGAAACAAGCCTGAGTTAAAACAAAAAAACAAAACTAACAAAACAAACAAACAAAAAATAAAACAAACAGAAACGAAATATATTTAAATATATATATATATATAAAAAAAAGAATAAATGTAAGGAGAATAACGGTTTCAAAAGGAAGTTTTTGCACTGCTAAAAAACGTGGGTTGTGCAAACTCTTTTTTCTAAACAAACTACGGAGCCTGGGTGTGCAGGGCAAGGAGACGGAGCCGCTTCCGGAGATGGAGGGATGGATGGATGGATGGATGGGATGGATCTTGCTTCCAGAGATGATGGATGGGATAGACCTCGCTTCCAGAGACGGATGGATGGATGGATGGGATGGACCTCGCTTCCGGAGACAGATAGATGGATGGATGGGATAGACCTCGCTTCCAGAGACGGATGGATGGATGGATGGGATGGACCTCGCTTCTGGAGATGATGGATGGATGGATGGGATGGACCTCGCTTCTGGAGATGGATGGATGGATGGGATAGACCTCGCTTCCGGAGATGGATGGATGGGATGGACCTCACTTCCAGAGATGGATGGATGGATGGATAGGATAGGATAGACCTCGCTTCTGGAGATGATGGATGGATGGATGGATGGGATGGACCTCACTTCTGGAGATGGATGGATGGGATGGACCTCACTTCCAGAGATGGATGGATGGATGGGATGGACCTCGCTTCTGGAGATGATGGATGGATGGATGGGATGGACCTCAAAGCTGCTACCCGAGCCTTCCTTTGGGATGAGGGATTTGTTGGTGTGACCTCCCAGACGGCCACGACCTTTCAGCTTCTTATCCCTTAAAAAACAGCATCCATCGGGAATGGGAATGGGAGCAGCGCTCTTGCCGTCGCCGTTCCGGGTTCTCCGGTGGGTCAACCAGAGGCAGAGGCTGTTGGGACACACAAGGTGGGGAGACACGGGAGGGATTTTCCCGCTCCCACCCTCCACTGGAGGAGGGGGAGTCGTTTAGGGGGGGATTTATTCCCAGAATTCCCCCGAGGAACCGCCGAGCTCGACGCGCCGAGGGGGCTCAACGCGCCTCCTCCTCCGGGCGCTGAGCACGAGAGGTTATTATTTTATTTTTTTTTTGTTATCATAGCAAAATTTAAAAAAAAAAAATAATACTCTTAAAAAATTAAAAAAAATAAAATCCCACTTTTACAAGGAGAAAAATAAAAAAAACCAAACCCCATTTTTGGGTTCGAGCCACCCCCCCTCCCCGACACGTGCCAGTTAGCCAAGCCGGTTTTCCACTGCATTGTAAAAGTTCCCTCCTTCCAGTTGACATTTGAAGACTTTTTTCCTTTAGAATTATCTCAGCTTTTAACTTCATCTTAAAAAAAAAAAAAAAAAAGAAAAAAAAAAAAAAGGACTTCATCTAAGGAGAGTATTATTTATAATTCTTATTATTATTATTATTATTATTATTCCGTGTTCTCTCGACGCCCTAAGATCGAAAAAAAAAAAAAAGACAAACAAACAAACCGCCTGATATGCAAATAATTGGAGTAAAACCGTGAAAACAAACAAACAAACGAGGAGAATATTTGCAAACACGAGTATAAAAAGCACAACGAGATGCAGTAAAACGATGACAAGGCTTGATTTTTTTTTTTTTTTTTTTTTTATTCTGTAGAGAAATGTTTGTGCAAATTCAGTAATTCAACTGAAGAGATAATTTTACAGCTGTTCAATAAAGCCTCTTTCCAGGTAAGGTATGACAAGTGGTGTGTGTGTTTGTTGAGCAGTGAGGCCCCCAAAATGGCCTGGCCTGGGCTTTCCCTTCATCAACTGGTGGTGTCTGAAGGTCTGATGGTCCATCCTGGTGATGCTGGGGGGGCTGGAGCTTTCCCGGGATGTTGGCTTCCGGCTTTGGAGGCACTTTGTGGGGTCTGGGAGATGGTGGGAGCTCTGGTTTGGATGGACTGTGGGGTCTGGAAAACTGGGAGCTCTGAGTCTGGATGGACTGTGGGGTCTGGAAAACCGTGGGAGCTCTGAGTTTTAATGGACTGTGGGGTCTGGAAAACCGTGGGAGCTCTGAGTCTGGATGGACTGTGGGGTCTGGAAAACAATGGGATCTCTGAGTCTGGATGGACTGTGGGGTCTGGAAAATAGTGGGATCTCTGAGTCTGGATGGACTGTGGGGTCTGGAAAATAATGGGAGCTCTGATTTTGGATGGACTGTGGGGTTTGGAAAACTGAGAACTCTGAGTCTGGATGGACTGTGGGGTCTAGAAAATAATGAGGTCTCTGAGTCTGGATGGACTGTGGGGTTTGAAAAACCATGGGATTTCTGAGTCTGGATGGACTGTGGGGTCTGGAAAACTGGGAGCTCTGAGTCTGGATGGACTGTGGGGTCTGGAAAATAGAGGGGGCTCTGAGTTTGAATGGACTGTGGGGTTTGGAAAATAATGAGGTCTGAGTCTGGATGGACTGTGGGGTTTGAAAAACCATGGGATTTCTGAGTCTGGATGGACTGTGGGGTCTGGAAAACTGGGAGCTCTGAGTCTGGATGGACTGTGGGGTCTGGAAAATAGAGGGGGCTCTGAGTTTGAATGGACTGTGGGGTTTGGAAAATAATGAGGTCTCTGAGTCTGGATGGACTGTGGGGTTTGAAAAACCATGGGATTTCTGAGTCTGGATGGACTGTGGGGTCTGGAAAACTGGGAGCTCTGAGTCTGGATGGACTGTGGGGTCTGGAAAATAGAGGGGGCTCTGAGTTTGAATGGACTGTGGGGTTTGGAAAATAATGAGGTCTGAGTCTGGATGGACTGTGGGGTTTGAAAAACCATGGGATTTCTGAGTCTGGATGGACTGTGGGGTCTGAAAAACTGAGAGCTCTGAGTCTGGATGGACTGTAGGGTCTGGAAAACAATGGGAGCTCTGAGTCTGGATGGACTGTGGGGTTTGGAAAACAATGGGAGCTCTGAGTCTGGATGGACTGTGGGGTTTGGAAAACAATGGGAGTTCTGAGTCTGGATGGACTGTGAGGTTTGGAAAACCATGGGAGCTCTGAGTCTGGATGGACTGTGGGATTTGACACCCTTAAAAACACAAACCACAGAATTTCCCCTTGGAATCACTGGATTTTGAGGGTTGATGGCTGGCTGGAGGACCAGCTCAGGTATGGCAAGACACTGCTGAAATTTTTGAGCAGGAGGTTGTTGTCTCATTACTGAGGACGTGTGGAATCCAAACCTGGATGTGTCTCCTCCCGCTGATGTCTTGGGAAGGCCACAGAACCGATGGATGGTCCAAGAGGCTCCACCTTTGGAAGGGTCTGGCTTTGCCCAAGGCCACTGAGAGCCCTGACAGAAGTGGACTCGTTCTCCTCTGGCATTTCTCATCCATGTGTGACCTGGGTGGCTCCTTTTCCCCTCATTTTCTGGTCGGAGCAGCACTTCAGGGATGCTCCAGGCTGGAGCCTCAGCAGGCTCTGCAGGAGATCCCACAGATCAGGGACCTGGTCCTGCTGTGTTTTATGATGCACAACCTCACTGTCCTGAGCCTGGAATATTCCTGCACTATGGAAAAAAAAAAAAAAAGAGTGGCAACCTGTCAATAATTTTCACGGAATCCCAGATTCCCAGAGTGGTTTGGGTCGGAGGAGACCTTAAAGCTCATCTCATTCCAACCCCCTGCCACGGGAGGGATGCTTCCCATGAAACCAGGTTGAAGGAGCACGTGAAATGTTCCATCTCCTTTCAAATATTTTTCCTGGTATTTTCCAGAAACAGACCCCAAATAAGCTGAGCCTTCAGTGCCCGTTGCTCAGCAGGGACCAGGAGAAGGGTTTTCTCCTGGTGGTGAGGGTGTGACTCCACGGGAAGGGAGGTCTGGGAAGTGCCCTGGAACGTCCCCAACTGTCCTGAAGATCAGGGAATGGAGATCCTGGTTGCCTGTGTAGATCCCAAGCTGAGACTCCAGGCTGGAATCCTGGTCTCTCTTTCCATGTTGATTTTTCTTTCCCTCCCTCACGTTATTTTGGATAAAGGGTTTTGATTGACAGCCAAAGACCACAAACATCTCCTTTCAGGGCAGGATAATCTGTTTGTCCTGAAAAGCCCAGGTCTTTGTGTGAAAGGGAATTTATTTCCCATCCTTATTCTGGTTTTACTCTGCCTGGGGGCAGAAGGTGAAAAGAAAAGCTGCTTTTCTCTCTCTCCAGTGTTGACTCAGGAGCAGCTTTATCTTCCTTCACATTCCTGGGATAAACCACTGGAAAGGGCAGTGGGATTTTGCTCCAGGTCATGAATAAGAAGAACAAATTGAGATATGCATTTCCTAGTCTCGATTTTGATTTTATTTTTAGTCTTTTTGGTGCAAATGGATGCAGAATTTGTAAGATATTTGGACCAGGAATCAGACAAAGGGAGTTGGGACTGGCAGGTCTCCTGAGGAATCTGAAAACCCTCTGACTCAGTTCTGGGTTATCCCATCTAATAATGTCTCTGATGGAGCTTTAAATTGGAAATCAGATACTGGATGGTGCAAATGTGGACTGTGCAGCAACTCCAGCACTGGGATGTTGGGATCAGCAACTGGTTTGGATGGGATGGCTGGGGGAGTTTGCTGGGTGTTCCCCAAGCAGAGGGAGATGGAGGTTTGAATGGGAAATCATGGAATTACAGAATAGTTTGGGTTGGAAGGGACCTTAAAGCTCATCTGGTTCCACCCAGGGGCACCTTCCATTATCCCAGGTTGCTCCAAGCCCTGTCCAAGCTGCCCTTGGGCACTTCCAGGGGTGGGGAATCCACCACCTCTCCGGGAATCCTGTGTCCCACATGGAATTATGGAACACTTGGATGTGCTGCCAACCCAGCTCTCCTCCAGCCTGGATGGGATACCAGGAGGGATAAAGGAGCACAGACTGAAAGGGAGCAGAGAAAGACCTTACAAATCACCCTCAAATGCCCAATTATGGTTGGAAGGCAGGAGCAGCTCTTGGAGAGCCCAGAAAAGGGGAGATGACCCACGTGAGGAACATGTGGACAACAAGGT